GGTCTCTCCACCTAATATTCTTATTATTCCTGCTTTGCCACTAGAACGGTAGACAAGATTCTTCTCTTGAATTCCACATATATCCTCAAAATTCTCTGCATTCAATGAATATCCTGAATTCCTTAGATTCTATTGATGTCTGAAGTTTCTCCGCCTTCTTGGATGTCACAGATTCTGTCCATTCCTCTGATTGTTGACAGTCGTTAAGTTCATCGGATTTTTAGGGTACCTTGCATCCTTCGAAATTTGTGTGTTCTTATGATTATTTGAGCTTCTTGGCTTCTTTTGAATCCCAATAAGTCTCTGATTTTTTAACTGCCTGAGATTCTTCTAAATCCATGCATGTCTCTAATTGTTTGAATATGATGAATTGTTTGAATTCATCTAATATCAATTCGTTCAGTTTCTTGCAGCGCTGTCACCTTTCCTATTTTTAGCAGAAAAATTCTGCTTCTTTTCTGTCGTCCCAGATTTTCCTGTTTTATTAAGATTTCTTTCTTCTTATATTTCTTCTCAACACGCTTAGATTGCTCTAATTCATGTCTTCAAAATTGTCCAAGAAATTCGCTATCCACATTCCGTAACGCTTGCTTATTATACTTCTTCTTTGTGAGAAACACAAATGTTCTCTATTGATTAAGAAGGTGTTAGCCTGCTTTTGTAAGACCAGGATTATACGTTGTAAAACAACCAGAACATTTTGTAGCTTGTATACAATTCAGAGCTATGTAGATGTATTTTCTCTTCAATTAGACAATTGATAAAATTAAGTTGCAAATAAAACGAATCGGACTACTACAACAATAGTCAGAAATATTTTAAATGACTAGATCTCAATATCTAATCTCAAGTTATGTCATGTATATTTTGCATCGAAGAAAAGAATTAAACTACTTTATCTACTGAAGCTGATGTTATATACTAAGTAGAATTCGCACGTATTTTATCTCTGTGGTGTGGGTGAGGTGTGTTGACATCTTCCTGACTCACATCCACACCCACACCCACACCCAGCAGGTGTTTTTATAGATCCCAATTGAGCGATTCAAAGAAGATAAGACATTAGGCCTTGTTTTTTCTTACAAAAACATAGATGGACTTAGATAGATATTTACTTAGGTCAATTTAAAAGTAGTGTCGCTAGTACTTTAAGGGCGTAGTTGAAGATGTGAGGATACGTAAAGAGTGAGAGTGAATAGAAGATCTCACACCTTCACATCAAACACTCACATTCTCAGTCATACTATTTCTATGCTTGTCGCTCACATTCACATGCCAGCCATAAAAAGAAGCCCGCATTTCTTCTGTTATAATCAGTGACACCCGTCTCTGCTTCAAGTAAGCCACTAAACCGTAAAGGGATATTGAATTTAATAGAAAATGGTACTCAAAGTCTGTTAAGAAATCAATGACTATTTTGAATTGCAGGCGCTTCGACAACGACTGCTATTGGCATAACCAAAGCAAAAAACAAGACACACTCCAGCAAAGTTCAAGTAATTCAAAGAGTTTCTTAGTGCTCTTTTATTGTCCATATCTATTTCCTTTTTCTCATAGAATGATACAACTACAGCAGCTACCGCCAGTGCCGTAAAAACTAGATTCTTCTCCACTATGAAGAAGGTCAGACAATAACCACTGTAGGAAACGTATATTCATCAGATACCTTATACCTTTTAGTTTTTCGGCGTGAAAACCAGTACTTTAGCAGCTGAAGGTAGGTTACTGTTGATTATCACTTTAAGCAAGATTAGTGATGGTGAAAGTTATGTGAATACAATCACCGTAATTTCTCAGACGCCCTGTACGCACAGAAGAAATTCGGAAATGAAATGATTATTTTTTGAAGAATTTTTCTCGTTTGTCTATAGTTCGCGCGTGTGGAGTAACACGATTCTTTCGGATAAATTTCATAATTCATCTATTGACAGAAAGCGCATGCTCTTTATCAGAATAAGATTGTCATCCTCTTCCTATTTCTGTTATGATATCCCAGCAAAAGCATCTGAACGTTTTTTAAATAAAAGGAATGGAAAGATTTTGTTCTGTAAGGAAATTTGATACTCTGGCATTAACTCGAATCAAGAATTCAGCTCGATTTATTGAATTTTCGCATCTTTTGTCGAATGATTCTTTGAAATGACTTTTAAAAGTAACCAGAACTACTAGAAGATCATGATCTGATCGAACAACAAGTGACAATGAGAAACAAAATATGATTTTGCAATCATTCTATCGTCATTCAGTAAGGAATAAGATTTTTATTATCGTTCACTTGCTGAAGGATACCAATGTAGGTGTAATCGTTTTCTCTTCGAACATGGATGGTACATATAAAAGTTGTTCGAGGAGAACGCTCACAGAATTTACTTAATCCTTACTTTATTTAGAAACGTGCTTTTGACTTTTTGTCGAAAGAAACTCTTGTTCTCGAAGATTGATGATGCGTTGTCTCCAACATTACATGATGATCAATTTTTCTTAAATTCATATAAATAGAACCAGTGTTGTTGCTTATACCAACGTTTTGAATTATTTAGTGAAGGAGACTAGAACAGTTGAATCTAGGATTATAAACCAACATACCTAAATCTAATCGATTGACGTAACCCTTGAAGAACTCGATAAAGTGAAGCTACATCCACATGTTACATATAAGTGTACATAGCTTGTTCTTGTTGATTGGAATCAATCAGTTTCTGTTTCGTTTTAATCGTTTTCCACAGAGATTTTAATGGCAACGTCAACATTTGTGTGATGAGCAAGTCAATTTTCCATAAATTTCAAATAAGAAAATGAACAGAACTCGTTGCAAAATCGTTTAATTCACTTTTTTCTATATTTTTTATCAATGCTTATGGAAATATTTCTGTGAATCCTTCACTTTTTGAACTCCTTTCATTATCATGTTAGTTTCAGTTTCATTAATCCTTTGATTGCTCGAAGAGACTTAACTCCCTCAAGATGATGTTATTGGTATAGTTTGTACAGTTTCGTAACTTTCTCGATTTCTCTGAATTCATGCAAATATTTTGCCCACCAACGGGTTCTTGAGTTTCGTGGTATTCTCTGTCTCAATAAGTTCCTAGACCTCGTTGATATCCTTGGAATCTCTAAGTTTCTTCATTTAATTGAATTTTCGATAGTTCATGCAGTTTGTGGAGTTCCTGAGATTCTTCTCATTTCATCTCTTTCTTCAGCTTCTAGAGTTCGTAGAATATTTTGGACGCTCTAACTTCTGTCAATAAATAAATCTGATATATTCGTGGTATATTGGTTTGCGACATTAAATGTGATAAGAAGGGATTTTCAGGAAATTCACAGAAGATTGAAATTTGACACTTAGCTCTTGTATTGCATGCTAAGTTTTCCTCAGCTGCATCCACTTGTGGAACGAAGTGATGGTGAAAATCCTGAACGTTGTATGAAAACTACTCTTGTCAAACGAGATTTTTACATTTTATAAATTAATACGTCCCAATAGATGTGTTTTGGTCAATAGGTCTCTTATGCTGTCTTTGACACGACGAAATTTAGTATCGAAACACGTCGATAAGTGGTGAAGCTTGACAAGAAAAAACATGGCATCCCCTTTTTTGTTCTCTCGACCATTCGTTGATAAAGGACTTTTTTGAATCTGTTTTTACATTCTTCATCATGAGATGTTTTCTTCATCAACCATTCTTCTTTTGCCTGCTTTACTTTTGGAGGATGCATATCTTGGATTCCTACGATTCTATTGATCCATAACATTTCGGCGATTTGATGAGTTTTCTAAATTTTTCATATTTCACAGATTCTTTTGATCCATCAGGTTACTAGCAATCTTTAAATTCCTAGGATTTCCAGGCTACCTTGTATTCCTCGAAATACATGTATTTCTAGATTGATTTGAATTTCTTGGGATCTTCCGAACCCTAAAAACTCTCTAATTTTAAACTTCCTTAGATTCTTTTGAATCTACACGTGTCTCTCATTATTTGAATATCATGCATAGTTTGAATTCCCTCAACTCTCAGGATTTGTTTATGGTGTGGGTGTTATATCACTCTATTGGGATCCACACCCACACCCACATCCTTCTCGATACTTGAATAACACTTCATTCTGCACTTCATTTTGTTCTTTTTTTGCCTGCAAATCATCGATTTTGAGATACTAATTATGATCCATACAGTTTAATTTTACACTTTTATCCGTTCTCAATTCTTATAAATCTATTTCGTTTTACCGATATTCATCTTTCTTTATGAGCGTATGCTCGTCAGGTTGAGCTCAATACACGATATAGAAAAACGAATGAAATTATTCTATTCCTCGTCTCCAGTTATCTTTGGTAAAAATTTATGAGAAACTCAAGATTTCTCGCAAAAACTCAGCCTGATACTCAAACGGCACGGCCAAGCGTTACGGAATTTCATTTTTTCAACTTGTGAGACATATATCTCCTCAATAACAAGAGAGATGTTTCTGAAATTTTGGGCATATATGAAGATTAACTAGCTCTACTAGCACTAAAAATTTCACTGACTTGTCGCAAGCAATAACGGAGTTATTTGAAAAACATCGTTCGTTACGGAATTTCAAAAAATGGACAACATTTTGAGGGTAGACTCAGATTTTAGCATTTTTCTTCGAAACTAAGCAACTCATAAATGAACGTTCTATACAAAGGTTGTTCAGTTTTTCACAAGCTCTTAGAATATCATATCGTTTTCTCTGTAGGACATTCCTTTTAAATAAGACAACTTAAAAGACTGAGCGTTACGGAATTTCAAATGTTACGGAATTTCACCTATTTTTGCGATTTGAATGCAAAAGGTTTAATAGCTTGAAGTTTAAATTAATTGTTACACAAAATTATTGATTTTTTGTTCAAAGAGAGTAAACCAATGTTTTTTTAATTCAACTAATTTAATTTTTGTTACCATAAAGAAAATCCTACAAACACAGTTTCTAATATATCATATAAATACAATATCAATAAAAACAAAAATATATTAAAAATTTACTATTGTTTTTTTATCACTATAAGAATAAATTTTACATTCAATTTTATGAATATCTATAACAGTCATTGAATGTACTTTTTGGATATTTGGTACTGCCTTCACTTGATTAAAAATTAATCCAAGACCATCACGACCATGTTCAATTTCATCTGGTGATAATTCATCGATTACAAATGAAGTATTTTTTTGTTCAATTAGATGTAAAAAATCATTTGCATTTCTGCATCGTTTACCAACCAGTACGTCTTGATATACCATTCTTTTCACTGATCCACCAATGCCATCCACTACCCCAAGACCAATCATCAAAGACTAATCTTTTTTTTATCTACTATGTTGTATCAATATTATTTCTAGTCAAAATCGAATATCCTTGCAATACGTTCGTTTCATCAAGATTTGTTTACACATTTTCTTTAGTCTTACTTACCTTTACCGTGATGACTCGCGAAAAAGTTCCATGATAACTTTAGAGAAAATTGATCAGCCAAATACGTCAGATTCTTGAATAAGAAACATTGCTTGAATTGACAAGCACTACCATCACTAAAAATTATTAACTCTTTCATTGAAGGTAATAATACTTTTAAACGAATGAATAAATGTTCAAGACATTTTGCAACGGTGTATTTGTCGTGTGAGGAATCATCAGATATTATTGCTAATGGATATGTTTTTGATTGAGACCAAACGTGTGCAGTGAAAATCGATAATTGCTTTCGGCTCCAGTGAGCACTTTGTATTTCGTTTTGTTCGATAATAGAATAATTTTCAGCATAATCGACTTGAAGTAAACATTTTTTGTCAGTAACATCTTTCTTCAACATTTCAAAAAAATTCGATTGTTGTCTTTTAATAAAGACATGAAATAAAAAAGGATTGATTTTAGTTTGTAAAATATTAATACAATTTTGAACTATTCCTTCATAATCAATTTTAACTGTTCGACCTTCTTTTGATGTTGACCATAACGACCATTTAATAATTACAAATTGATCAATCATTTGATCTTGAATTTTCATTTTAAAGTTATTCGAACATTGACTACAATTGCTAAACATACATAATTCTTGACTATCATCACAAACTAGCAATTTAATAAATGAGTTCAAATCAATCGATTTAATGCCATGAATACGTTCATCAATTGCTTGTAAGAGAAGAGATATATTCTCGTGGTAAATACATAAACAAAGATTGTGTGGTGTTGCTGATTTATATAAAACATTGCATGGTCGTAAATTTTTAAAACTTGAGCAACTAATCACAGCTTGTGGATTTTCTTCAGCAAACAATTGATAAACTTCATTTAATGAATATAATAAATAACGTTTTTGTAATTTTTTCTTCTCACCATTTTCTCTAATTGTAATTGAATCTCGTTTACCGGGTGCTTGATAACTTATGTCATCACGAAAATAATAATCATATACTCGTTGTTTTACATCTGTTGATAATGACTGTTGATTACGTTCAAATTTTTTTTCTAATTTAACAATGTTCAAATTTGCAGCAATTTCTTTGATCAATTCAAACTGTTTGTCTTTGTTTGCGGGCAAAGCATTTAAAATTCTGTTCAAAGCCTTAGATTTAGATTGTTTCGTTCGAAATGATGATTCAGGTGGTGATAGTCGAGTTGGATTTAATTTTGATTTTGAACGAAATTTTCGAAGATTAGTTTGTTGACGTAAACGTAATTTTTTTAATTTAGCTGGTGGCATTTTTGAACGAGCAAGTCGTTTACGTTCACAATCTTGTTGTTTTATTAATTCGTGTAAACCTGCTGCTTTCTTTTTCTCTCGACAACGTCGGGCTCTCTCAGCACCGGAGAGAGCCATCAAATAAGAAAGAGCTAGTGGTTTATCTAAAAGATGAAAGATCGAAAAAGCTGGTGAATAATTATGTGACTAAGTCACAAAAATGTATTAAAAAAACAACGAATATACCATGAATTCATTGTACAGTACGCATATGAAAATAATACAAATATAACTTTGTGTATGCAATAAAAAAAAACTATGTTAAATTTTAAAACAAATATATAGTATTCTGTATTATATGAAATTCCGTAACGAAGTATTTTGAATATAAATACACAAAACTAGAACCGATGATCAATAGAAGGTAGTCCATTTGATAGATCTCGAAAAGATCTATCCAGTGATGTCATTTTAAAAAAATGAATTTGTAACCTAAGAGAAGGAAACACATTATAACCATTTTTCGTTACGGAATTTCATGAAAAATTCAGTCGTTTTCTGAAGAATTGATAAATCTATGCAACAATTGGATTCTTTTGGAAAGCTTCTATTTTGAAAGAACATATCTTCTTCTATCTATCGATGTGAAATTTGATTCAATTCAGCTTTAATATGAACACTTTTTAACCGTTAGCTTATGATGATCTAGAGATGTCGTTTTATGATAAGTTCATTGAAGAAAAGAATAGCGCCACTGTCATTTAATGACTATATATTCCATGACTAATGACACTTTTTCTTCATACTATTAAATGTACTCCATTCCATAGTATACTCATTTTCCTTCAATCTTGAATTCAAACCTTCCCCAACGAAGAGGACCGATGGCTGGCCGTGCCCAAAAATATTTAAAATCTATTATAGCCATTCGATTTCTCGATCTTAGTCACCTTTGATCAAACTTTAGGGAAAACCTATCCTATCTATAGAAGACGCTCAAAATCGAATAGACCATTTTATTCCTCGATATCGATTACTCTTGGTAAGATATTATGACAAACCAAAGGTTTCTCACAAGCCTTGGTCGTGATTCTAGATAATAATAAAATTCTGATCCTGCAGATGTAGCTGTGGGCGTGGGTATCGGAATATTTACATCCACACTCTTTTGGATCCTACTACGGGGTGTGAGTGTGGGTGGAACTGTTAGTAAGGTGAATACTGAATTCTACAGCCACATCCCATCCACCCTAGATGAATATTGCTACTATTCATAACAAATTTTTTAAAAGAAATAAGTTGTCTCAAGAATAATTCTGAGTATGATGACTCATTTGAAATACTTATCTAGTTAATGCATAAAGGATATATGAAGCAATTAGTATTCTAGAGTTATATATTCAGTTATTTGAGATGTTAATCATATAAGAATTTATGGACGAAACACAAAGTTGTTTGTACAAATAGTTTATTATAAAAGGCATGCTTCGCAATGTCTTTAGTAGTTTATCTCGTCGATGACGGAATTACTTTTATCAAAAACTAGTTTTATCTTTACTTATTTTGATTTGATGCAAATTCATAACATAAAGATCTGGATTGTAGTCAAAGATAAAAGCAACTGTTTTCATCTTTGAAACAAAATGTTAAGTATTGAAAGTAAAAAATTCAATACTTGTCTGAACTCGTACTTATTTCTACTACAAAAAGTGTATTTTCTAAGTTTCTTGTTACGAAAAAACATATTTTGACCGTCAAATGAAGAGCAGTTTGTTAAGAAATTGTTTTTTTTACACTTTTCATAACGAGGTTTTTCAAGAGTTAACTTCTTGATGCTAAGCAAAAAATGCTTCTACAATAAAATAATATAATTCGATTTTGTTTTCAGTAAAAAGCAAAACAAGTTTTTCTGAATAATTCAAAATGTAAAATTTAAAAATTGATATGAAAAGTCGTTTAACGTCCTTTAATTGCTCAACTCCGATATATCAATGCCTTGTAGTTAAAGACAAGCTTTTATTCTATTGTAAAATCAATAAAATTGTAATTCCATCAAAGAGAATAGAATCAGAAAGTAGCAATCGAACGATCACTTCTAAATAACAGAACGTTCGAAAAAGAAGAAGAAAAACCTATGTATCAGGTAGCCAATACAGCAATCTATGACTGTTGTAATTTTGCATATCTAACAGCTTCGTATAAATGAAACATTCTTTGTCTAGTGAAGAAAATTGAAACATCTATTGTTCCACCATCATCAAAGGGTTAAAAACTGAAACTTTGAAATACTTTGTTTCGAATTCGTTTTTGATGTAAGTTGAAGTCACGAGCCATAGTCAGATTATACAAATAACCATTTCTCAGATAGCTGTATTGAAAATTGTTCAAGATTAACTTACACAATTTTTTCCTAAAACAAACATAATCCTGTAGTTGATGTGATTTTAAGAAACTAAAATAAAAGATTCTGGAAACAAGATATGATCTGCATACTCTAAGGAAGCATTTTGTTATATTTTTTAAAGAAATAAGAATCCTTTTAAATGTAATTTACAATTTATTGGGTACTATTCAAAATCTTTAAATGAAAGAAGATGATGAAGATAAGTTAGATGATTAGTATTTTAATTACTAGTTAAATCAATATATTTGTCATTCATCTTAATAAGAGCATAGATTCTTTTCCTGTTTCGATCGAGTCACTCTATATATGTTAATTTCAATGATCTTTTCTATAGCAAATGTTAAATGAGAAAATTGAAAGTACACTTTTCGACTATTGGAAAAGGACAAAAACGAACTTTTTCACATGAAAGAATAGTCTTGCTAGAGCACGAATGTCATCAAAATAATTCATCACAAGACACTAAGTGGGTGTGAATGTGGGTGGATGTGTCACGGGCGTAGTTGTGGGTGTATTCGACGTCTTCTTTCTGTCTACACTCTCACTCATAGAACACCTCACCCGCACCCTCAAATTTATTTTGTTCATTCTTTGTCATTATATTTTTATATAAATTATATAAAGTAATGCCATCTAAATCTATTGAAGAACATAATGCTAAAAATGACTCACAATGAGTGTCCACGTCTCATATTGTTATCATCCACAAAAAAAATTGATAAATATAATCTAATATATTTTTCAATTGCACTCATTCTTAATAATGATGTCAATTCAGTATAGGCAATTTTAGATAGATTTTTTAAATTTTCTGTTCAACTTCAGATATTCAAAATATTCAAAAGAAAAGGCTCGAAATGGTATAAAATCTAAAAAAGTTAATCTTCATATGTTATTTTCACAGATCGTGTCATCGTTGAATCAGTTTCTTATGAAATAAGTTATTCTTACTTACACTGCTACTTCTATATAATAAAAACTCTAGACTCAGCTCTCATCTGAGAATTTTGAATAGATACTTCAAAAAAAAATCGAATAAAATCTTTTGAAATACTTCAAAAAAACATTGGGAAATCACTTATATACGGAAGATGCGAACTAACCTGTCAATTTCCTAAGTAAGGCTTAGAGATGAGATTTTGAATTTCTCTCCAAAGGTTTTACAATTCTGATTGACCAAATACTTATAGATTTACTTATTTGTAAAGTTCTCCAGGAAAATGTGTTAGAATTTGTCTAGATTTAAGCATTTTTATCGGTTTCCGAGGCGAATTCTATGAATTTTAAGGGATTCAAAGACAATAACAGGCATTCGTGCTGAAAAGATTGGTTAAGAAAAACATGTTTTCGTGCACACTTTTTTGAACACATTTTGCAATTTGTAACAAACACTCATTCTTTTCCCTCTCTTTTAAAATCTAAATTAGTGTATTTTCAATGAGTTTTTCTCTGGAGGTTTGTTCAAATATTTCTTTCGAGCAGGATGACAAATATACTTTTAACAATCATTAAAACAATACGGTATTTCTTAAAGACATTCAACTACTTTAATTCTTTCATATGTTTGAGTTGATGTCGGTTTCGATGATGCTTTGGTTTAACTCCTACAATTAGATTAAGATATGTTTGCCTTCTCTATTAAATGTTAAGATACCTTTTATTTGCAACGTGATTCTTTTGCAATCGCCGATTTTTTTACGTGGGACTAACCGATGACAATGTGCTGAAAGTTTTCATCAGTCTTCATCTAATCAGAATACTTCACTCTATAAAATATTTGAAGGTCTGAGAAATGTTATTTTTCTAATAGGCCAATCGTTTATTTACTTGTTCGGAATTATATTTTACCTGTTTTCCTTTTCAGTTTTATTATGTTCATCTGTGTATTAGTTCTCGTAATTTTCCTATTTGTTTGAGCACTCTTCTCCTTCGCTCATAGTATGTTGTTGCTGATCCATTGTTTGTCATATCTGCATTTCTAGGAATGCATTGCTTGATGTATTTTTGGAAATAACTTGCATCTTTTTTCATACAGTCAGTTAAGAATTAATATAGTTGGTGGATCGACTACCGAAGATAATGCAATACATATGAGTTCGTCTGTGGATTGATAGCGCTTTCGTCGAAAGCATAGATACATGTAAAGCGATGGAACACTTTTTTGTTTTTCTATTCAAGTCGACAGAGATGTAGAAGAAGCAAATAGTGATAATTGGAAATCATGATTATGTTTCAACTAGATATTCCATAGGATTCGGGCTTATTTCGATATTGTTTTTCTTTATTTCAAATATATAAAGTCAAATAGACGTAGAATTTTCATGCTTCAGAGTAACATCTAAAGTATCATTCAAAACAATAAATACAGTGAAACCTCTATATATGGGCACCTCCATAACAAGGGCACCTCGCTTATATGGGCACTCGTCGGAACGACCGATCGATTTTTGCTGTAAATGAACCTCTCTAAGAAGGGCACCTCCGACCTCTCCCCATGGGCACTGATTTTCAGCCCATTCTATACTTTTACACCTCTCTTAGATGGGCAGATAGAATGAATATTTTCTTCAACATTGTTCTTTTTCTCGTCGTGCTTTATTGTTCGAAGAAAGGAAGAGAGAAAAGTTAGTCCGATGTAAAAAAAGAAAATTACTCATCGATACATTTTCCACTGTTCTATCAATAAGAACAAGTGTATAAATTGTCATGCAATTTGACATTACTCTTCAATATT